TTTTCCAATTTTATTATAACATACAAAAAAAAAGACATTTTATGTTTGTAAGAATTAATTGGATTAATTAATCATAATTATTTGAACATTTAAAAACCTTTCTTATCTTTTTACATATAAACATCATATATACATTACACAAATATACATATATATTTATTTTTTTTTTAAATGAGGCTTATTAACTGTCATTATAATTTGTGTTTGTTTTAAGTTATTATTATTATGTAACGAATAATTTCTTAATTATTTGCGTTGTGTGATTACTTATTTTTGCAATTTATATATTTTTTTTGTCTAGTCATAAGATTACATTAAAAAACTTATCTATGTAAAATACGCTCAGATTTAATATATTAATTGTTACTAAACAATTATAATATGAATGACGTACAAAATAGCAGTGCTATAAATGTGTTGTGAACAGTTATGTAAATAAATTTTTTTTTAAATATTCTTGTGTATATATCCTTTTATGTTTTTTCTGCGAATTTTCGGAATAAGACTGACATATAAATTAAAAATTACAAGTTTCATGATTAGGAATATTATAATGCCATTAAAATATTTATTATGATGATATTGTGATACTGAAAATATTTATAAAAAATACTAACAAAAATACACACAAGTGTTAGCAAAATTATATTTATTGTCTCATTTTCTTTGAAGAATTATTATGTAACAATAGATTACATTTATATGTATTACGGTAATTATATATACTTTCAGTATGATTTTATATACAGGGTGGAGCAATACTAGCTTATTACTACCTGAAATATCATTCCTAATTGAGGTATTCTAATTAGGATGTTACTTGATATTCACACCCGAACGCCGCAATTATGTAAAGAAGGCATTTCAGACTGGAATATTTGTCTCATTTTGCACCCTGTACATATAAAATGCAACATACATATTACATAACTAGTATACATATGAACATCCAAAAGCGTTCATTCGATGTTGGTATATAATTCAGGAGTTATAATAATATAAGTATATGCATCCTCGGATTGTTCTGTACATGATCATTTACAGTGTGGTATAATAGAATCGTAGCGGATGTAGAAAACTTTACGGGAGCTATTATACATTATATATTTCGGTGTCTCATTTCTTAAATAATTCTCTAAAGACAGTCTATAGAACATATCCTTCACAATCATATTTCTTATTGCACATTATGTGCGATATCTTTACTTGATTAATTTGATATATTTTGTATTTGCATAAAAGATACATAAATGAAACGTTGAATATTGATAATAAGCGTATACTGCAATATATATTACATATGGAGATCGTAAAAAAATATAACGCTTTACTTGCATAAATGAGACAATACTTTTTGATGGAATATAATTGTTAGTTATATATGTTTGAAAAAGAAAAAAGAAGATAGATTAAATATCTATGTATTATGGAGGCAGATATCTTTCGCATTTTTAATTATTATATACATTAGGAGAATATGCGTATGTATTTTCTACTTTATCTCGTATAAACTTATAAAATAGATACGTAATTATATTGCACGTAGGGAAAATGTGTTTAAAATTAGCAATCAATTACTCGGTAAATTGTACCAATATAAAAACATTCGTTTAGAAATATGTATATCTAACATTAAGTATAATTCAGTGGATTTAGAAAGATTTAAATCAATTGCCTGTTTCTTTTAATGTATGCAATTACAATAGAAGTATTTGCATTTATATGATAAATATTGCACTTTAATTGATTTTCTAAATAATAATCTAATTGCGTAGATACGATCTTGGCGGCTGCGCGCGCAAGCAATAATTGTTATTACTTTCAAATTGTACGTTTTACTTTCATAAAGTCTTAAATATAGAGAATATTAGAGACCGTTCTAATTATCCGCACAGTGCGCATATATTGTGTCTCATAATTTATTCAATATAAATTTTATATATGTAGCAACACATATTCTTTACCTCATTACATCATTTTGACTTACCTATCGCGATTCTCTTTCATGTATGTATTAACTTTCTTCGTTTATATATCACGTATAAACTGATTTAAACCTTTTAATATACAAAAGTACTGTACGTGCGTTCGATGATGCTGTTATTAATTCATTACCTATATTATATATTCTTGATTATTCGCCTATATATATATATAAATATCGATAGCGATACATTAATGCATGATGGATTCTGTATATCTACGGATATAAAATTGTTTTGTTGCTCGTTTAGTAACAGTCACTTTCGTATCTTTCACGCTCTGTCTCACTGAAAATCGTTTACAAACCGTAGAGTTAAAGAAATACATGTATTTCTTTATTGGTTAAATATGTGTGTTACTTTTCGATTTTTATATGAGCAGGATATCCCATCCACAAAATTATTCTCTTATCGTAATCGAAAAGTTGTATCTTTTAATGTTATATATATCTTAATGTTCTGACAACGTTTGATTAGCTATGATATCAGATTTGCTTTTGATCCTCTATCTTGTAATGTTTTTTTTCAAAACATTAGATATGTATGAAAAATTTAATGACTATACTTTTGGCTTTTAGATTCAACATTTACATCAACTGTACTACCGCTTGTATAACAATACGAACTCGCAATAACGTTTTTCAGATGCAGATCATTTTCTTAGCTGAGGTCACCACGTGTGGGAGGTCTATCAGTTCGATCACTGCAAAATAAAAACATGTAAAATCGATGAGTAATTAATAATAAATTCGTCGTACGCACATAATGATAAATTAATGTTAAATATATCATTATTCGCGACAGAAGAATGTCAGAAATGATAGAAAGTGACATACCGTAGTTTCGCCGCAGTATTTCCGATATGTCGGTTAAGCATTAAACAATTTACAAATTTATTAGATACATATCGTATGCAAACTTGTGGAAATACATATCTTTTAAAATATTATACATTGGTGTTCGATTTAATAATCGCCGTTCTTGGTCTAAAGAGAAACATGTATTTCCGACAAGTTAGATCGAGAATATATTTTATGTAGTATTATATAACACTCTATTATTTAGCTTAATAAGCCCTTGAAAACGTTAATTGCGTCTACGCATAATAGCGCGAAAAGTACACTTTGTTCCTTAATATCTCTAGTCAAAGCAATCAAATTTTGAAGTATAATTAACAATGAATAACTCGTTATGTCACACGCGGCCAGATTGGACGCGGGTTTCGGATGAATAATGTTCACCGGTGGCGGTGGGACAAACGCATCGAATACATCTGCGTCTGCGTCTGTGAATACGAGTGAAGATGGAATCCATCTTACTCTGTGAGCAGCGTGTAAAAATATCCAACGAGATTAGTCACATCTCTATAAAATGTCATTTTGTTTTACCGAATTTTTACTGTCACTTGCTAATTCGAATATTTAAATATATTAAATTTATTAATAGAGAATTTATAACATTTTCTTTTTTCTTTACTAAAGATATCTTATTTACATCTTACCTCGTACACGGCGATACGTTTACTCCTCTGATAGCCTTCTCGCCGATATCGATAGCCCCTGAGTCTTGTACCTCTAAAGTGTAAATGCAACCGGAGAATCCGTCATGGTATCTTCCGTAAGCCATCGCGTAATCCGGCAATCCGCCCAAGTAAACGCTACCTCTTGCGTTCAAGATCTGTTGAAGTCCATCGCTTACACCGCTCTCGGTGTGCTCGCCGTTCAATTCGATGCTACCATCGCTTCCTTGACGTTTCAGAATTATTCTATGTCGTTCTCCGTCATCGACCCGCTGAGCGGTGACGCGAATTACAGCGGGACCGGAGCCTAAATTGTACTGATACTCTACGTATCTAGATAATACAAAAGGCATTAATCTTTAGATTTATCAATATCTTGAAACTAAAGCAGCGTGAATAGTATTATAATGATTTGGAAAAAAATTAATATATATATATATTTAGGTCAAAGAAAGATTGTTTGTTTCTAATTTTACATAAACCTTAACTATTTTATTTTTGTGTAAAAATTATATTGCAGTATATATGTCGTACATACCCATCTACTACAGCAACGGCGATGTAATCATCGGGTGTTAGATCATTCAAGGTTTGACCATGCCACATAATCAGTCCGTTACTCTTATTTGTACTGATTTCAAGGCCTAAAACTTCACGTTCTTCTTCGTGCGTCATAACAGATCTGTCTAGTTCCAACCAGCCATCTCCTTTGAAGGCAACATCGTACGTGATCTCTGCCACTACAAAGATATAATCATGTGATTTATAATCAAACATTATAATAATTATAATAATTATTATAATTATTATAAATATTATATGATATTTTTATTATTTATAGCATTTTGTAAAATATACATTTATCTAATTTATATTTATAATCTTACTTACACTTTTCGCAGTTCTGTCCGTTGTAACCGAGGCGACAATCGCATTTGTAAGATCCGTGAAGATCGGTGCAAGAACCCCCATTTTTACACGGTGTAAGTAATTCGCATTGCTTCAATACATTCTCACAGTTTCTGCCCACATATCCGTATTCGCATGTACACGAATAATCATACATATTTGAACTTTGACATATGCCGTGGATGCAAGGGTTCCATGCGCAAGGATCGAACAATGTTGTTGGCGGCTGAGTAGATGGTGCCAAAGTTGTGATAGTAGTATGCATTATTGTCTGATTCAGCTGAGACATCGAACAGTTCTCGATATTGGCTGCGTCAATCGATGATTTCAATATGTCCAAACTGACTGACAAAACTTCGAGCTATATATATCATAACATAAATAAAAAAAAAATATATATGTTAAAAATGAAGAGAGATTCTCTTTGTCTACTGCACATTAAAGTTGCTAATTATTATTGTATATTTATAACTATATACTCCCATTACATCCATAAATAATTTTATTTGAAAATACTGCAAAAATTTTACTTGGATTTAATTAAAGATTTATTAAATATTTAAAACTAAAAAGAAAGAGATTTTTTATTTCATTTCCGTTAATAAAGAATTAATTCTATAAATTTTTTAAAGAATTTATTATTAAAATAATAATGTTAGATAATCATGATTAACGGTATGGGATCGTATATATCGTTATCTGTCTTATATATATAATTAATAGTATTCTTACTTCGCTTATACATCCACGAAAACTATGGTCGACACCAACGTTCCTATTGATCGTGATTTTTCTGCGATCCACTCCTCCGATGTAAAGAGGTGTATTTAAGATCATGGTTCTGGAAGCTCCGGGTGATTCAGCTTCCACAAATGGCTCGCTGTTCACTGACAATTTGGCTTTTTTGAAGTCTCGATTCATCGTTACGTACGTCCATACACCAGGTTGGATTGCATAAGGTGATCTTATGGTTGCCATTCCGGAGCCGATATCGAAGCGGAATTCAATGTGCTTGTCCTTTATTATGAGCGCTGCAAAATCTCCGAGGCCTTCGTCATTTTGAGAACAATACATCAAGATTCCATCCCCGGAGTCCGTAGGGTTAAAACTCATGGTTACCTTAAGCCTAAAATTAGGTATATGGAATGTAAAAGAATGTATTATTGCACATTCGCAGAAAGGACTTTAAGCGAATATCATACGTGGTATATATATATCACGTATTAATTATTCCTTTGTATGTGTGTTTTTACTTAGTTTATTTTTATTATAAAACTCAACGGGGGCACATACTCTTGCACACTTTTATTTTTTCTTGTGTATTGCGTAAAATATAAATATAAAGTTCTATTTTTTGTCTTACTCTTTTTTATAGAAAATGTTAATTAAAGTTTATTTAAATACGGAGCATTTTTTGGAAAAATCTGTTATAACTTGCAGATGAGAGGTACATGCAAATAATGTATTTATTAATATATTTCTTATATAGTTATTATTTCTAAAACTATTAATTATACGAATATAAACAAGGAAAGGGGAGGAGAAGGGTTTACATAAGCACACATATATGTAGTATACATGTAAAAATACAAAATATATAAGCAACACATCAGAAGATAAATATGTGTTATATAAAAAAATAATGTGTCTATATCTTAAAACTTACCTTTTTTTAACAACATACAAGTGGTGAAATTGAATAAAACGTTGTCGTCTTAAGCTACAATGTGTAACTTATTACATTAATTTTGCTTTAAAAATATTTATTTGTATAGCATGATATTAGTCCCCCCACTCACTAAATATATAAACGATCACTCGTACATGAAATATCTCTTTTTTAAATATTTATATTAGATATAGAATCTTAGACATAAGTACAAACATTTTACATATGTTTTGTCATATATAACTGTCATATACACGTATATGGGTATTACGACTTTGACGTTTTCTAAGCTTGAATTGGGACTATTGTCAAATGTAACTGATTTGGCAGTGACTTCACGCGCGCATATTACTTTTAATAATTAATAATGACTAAAAAAAGAGTAACGCGTTAAGTGTATTAATTAAAAAGCTGTACAAAACATTAATTACTAATTCAATTGACTGATGTTCTAACGTTACAGCACCATGACGTCCATTAAGGAACTACGCACTAGGCAGGCTTCTTGCAAAATATCTGTTACAAACTCGTTGCTTTATCCTTACATTGCTACTATACATACCAAACAAAGAAAAAAAAAACAGGCAGTGATAAATCGCAAATAAATCGAAATTAAATCTTCTCGTACAGGAGTATTTTGATAATTTTAAATAGCTCATATGTATATGGAGGTTGATTAGATCTACGGGGAGAAGTAGATTACTACTGTGAGATTGGATAAGTAATGATTCTGTAAGTGCGTAAAATTGGTGCTAAGTTTAGCTAATGTTTTGTGTGGTGCAAATTATTGTGGTGATGTGGCCTTGATCGTGGTTGCCTAATTTGTGCGTTGCGTAATCGTGATCGACTGTGTATAGTGGTCGAACTCTCTCTCTCCCTGAAAAGAATTTTAGTAATTAGGATGCTTGATGATGTTCAGATGCACTGGCAATCAGATTAGTACCTATATTCCAATTATAGTTAAATCTGTTAGTTTGTCAAAGATGTGAAGATTCATTTATAGGGAATTTCCATTTATGACGATTCTGTCTAGACAGGGCTTTTTATGTATCTTGAAAATTTCGCGAGAATGCAAAAAAAAAGGATTTATTTGTGTAAAATTATTTTTAAGTATATAATTATTATTATTATTATTTAATACTTTAAATCTCACAACATATTTGAAAAAAATTGATTTTACCGAATATGTTCTATCAATTTCTCTTAATTCAATCATTTTTAATACGTAAGCTATATATGCAAATAATTATTTAAGGAAACTCATAAAATACGATAAATATTACACATGAGACATAATCACCATGACAATATGTTCGATCCTAGGCGCTTGTAACATCGATCAAGAATAATCCATTAAAAAGTAATGCGTGCACGTGCGTTCGATGGATGAGTGAATGTACTTACCGTCTAAGAGCTTTCGGAGTCTCGTACGCGAGATAAGCCCTCTCATTACGGAAAGCTGGATCGTGAATGTTCACCGAATGCTCGCATCGTGATCCCGTCTTTCCGATCGGACAATAACAATCGAAGCCGATATCCTTGTCGACACATTTACCTTCTCCGCACGCACCTATTATTATTCAATTTACTATAAGTCATTATTATTTAAAAACGTTGTATTAAGGAACAGTAAAACAATAAAACATTAATATTCCTATTATTAACAATGATCGATCTATCGATATTACTCATCCATGCACTATATATATA